ATCATCTTAACTTGACTAGACTTTGTTTTTTTGCAGTGTTTCCAGCTTTTCTACAATCTCTCTCTATTTAAAAAATGAAATAAAAATACTTATTTATATTTTTAAAAATCTAAAAATAGACTTTGTTAAGCTTTATAAATCGTTTCAACTCGATTATATTAAATCGTTTGGAGATCGTTTGCCACACAAATTGAAATTGTGATCAAAATTCAAGTTACAGCTTCACTAGAATCATTTTCAGCTCTGAAATTTCCAATCTCTACCGAACCAAACATTTCGTGACATCACAAGGTGGAACAGAGCGTTTTGAGCTTTGGAAATGTTGAGACTAATAATAAATTCTTACTCAAACATGTGTGAATGAAACAAAACACAACTCCGGGTCTGTTTTTGACGAGAAAACGACATTAGAACACGACTTTAAAGGTTGTATAGAGGATATTTTAAGGGAAGAGAAATAATTTTTAAAATGTTGTGCATGTGTGACACCACCTTCCTCCTCCACAGCCTCAGTAGAAACATCTCGTCCCGTCTCTTTACTCTAGAAATCACGTTTGTTTACAGCCAGTTCAGAATTACCGTTGAAGTTTCCTGTCTAGAAATAATTTATCGACCGACGCGTCTTCAGTTTTTAGACCCTTCGTCTGCTTCAGTCGCGCCGTCGCTGGAAGGAATCTCCAAGAATCACCTCAGTTTGTCTTCGCTCCTTTTCTCCTTCTCTTCTTCTTTCAGCGACCTCAAAAAACCGACTTTCTTTGGCGGCGAACTGGTCGTGGATTCTCGTCCACCGTCGCGACAAACTAGCTACAGTTTGAAAAAGCCTCTAAGAACCGCCCCATACACCACGAAATCCCTGCGCGACAACGAGTCAGTTACGCTAGAAACGTAGGGAGTTTGATTGACGACCTAACAGCCAATAGAAAAAGAGGGAGCCTCGTTTTCTATAGGCTAATGTTTATCTGGCCTCAACACGTCCACAGTTGATGGATTTTCATTCTTTTTTTTTTTGGTCATCATAATTACAAAGCTGCTGCGTCTCTGTAATGGTATTTTAAACTTTCATTGACAATTTGAAACTAAAAAAAAATCCTCCATACAACCTTTAACCTCACAAAAGTCAAATCTGCGTAATTTACCAGAAGGACCTTTGATTAATTCGCCATCGAACCAAAACAGATCTCCATCTCCAGAGCCTCCGCGGTTTCTCTGCTCTCTTTGTTCTTTTGACAAACAGCTATAACTCCAATCAGAGTTATTTTTACTCCGCAGCAGCTGGTTCTGGTTTGTGCCGCCGTAAACTCAAGACTCCCTCTGTTGACTTTGCATTACACACAGAGATTTAAGCCGTCTGTATGTACGAGGTGTGTTTTTCCTTTTCGCTTCTAATTCATGACAGGAGGAACAAAGCGCCGCGTGATGTAACTCCAGGAATGTGGAATATTCTGTCCAACGTGGAGTATTATGTTCAAAGATCAGGACAAAACTAAAAGGAAAACTGTGTAACTTTTACGGTTCAGTTTGCGTCAAATGCTTTTTCCGAGCTGTTGTTGCTTTGTCTGGAATGTTTCACAGTGCGGCATTAAACCTTTCTTTAAATCGTCACGGAGACCAAGCCAGACCAAGTTACAGGGCAGATCTGTGGAGAGGCGACACCGCTCACAGTCAGAGTTGCCACGTTTACATGAGAGCTTTAATTTCGAATAAAAAACACACTTTAATTCCGCTTTAAAAAATAACACGTAAACACTTAATTCCAAAGTAAGTGTTTGGTTTATTCCTATTTTAAAGCCAAATGAATTTCTTCCTGGATCATGTTTCACGTTTATTCTTCTTAAAGATAATGTGGGTGCTTTGGCGCGGGCTCGTTGTGTCGTCCTTCGATCCGGCTCCACCAGTCCCGGCTTCGGACTTTCCTCCACGTCTCTTTGGATTTGTGAGCTGGATGTGGGAGTGGGCTGAGCTTTTGTCTTCTTCCTCCTTCTCCGACGCTCTTCCCTTCTCCTCCTCAGCTCACAGACGTAAAGTGTGATGAGACGATTCTCCAGCTGCTGCACAACAATTATCATCAGAACCACCGCGGGAAAAGTTTGGATGGTGTTTGTGTCCGTGGAGGAACGACAAACCGAGAGAAAACAGAAAAGCCGGGAGCAGCTGAAGTGTTTGTGTTTTCTTCCCAAAGACCTAAATCCGTTGGTGTTTCTGTCCAATTAGAACCTTCCCATCCCCCAGACGCTCACACACATTACATAAAGAACATTTAACGATTTTTCCATGTACCGTATTTTACGGACGATTAGTCTCTCTGGATTATAAGACGCTCTGTCATTAAATGGACTATTTTTCGAACTTTTTTCACAAATAAACCTCGTGGGACTTTAAATGAAACCCAACAGTGTGATGGGTGAGTGGTTTTGTTTGTTTGTTCGTTCACGGTGACTCTGGGTTTGTTCAGTTGTGGCGTGTAGGGAGGGTGTGTCTGGATTGTCGGCGTGTTCGCAGTGACTCAGTTGTTCAGTCGTGTCTAGAAGCGGCACGTCGCACTCGCTTTTTCGTTTCGTTCATTCGTTCCGTTCCTCACGTTTTAAGCTCTTTTTATTGTTTTGTAAACGCTATAATCACCCGCAACAACAGCTTAACGTGTTTTATAAGTTTCGGTTTTGCTGCTAACTCGCTCCCTCTAACGAAACTACTGCGGTTTTCTGTCATGTTTTTGTACTATTTATGGAAAATTTTCGTGTCTATTGTCGTATTTATGGAAAAATCTTGAACAGAGAGATCGCTAGATTACTCAAACACGTGTGGATGTCTCTAAAACCTCTTCAGACAGTTTTTTTTAGACGATGGAACGTTAAAACATGAGAGAAAGCTCCAAAAACACCCCCGTCTTTAAGCACAGTTTTCCGTTCATCTCGACAGAAATTCTAAACTTGGTAAACGGCGTTTCAGTTTTGTCCATCGTTATCGGTCATTTTTTACATTTTAAAACTTTCGTGTAGGGAGGGTGTGTCTGGGACCAGCGGATTGTCGGCGTGTTCGCAGTGACTCAGTTGTTCAGTCGTGTCTAGAAACGGCACGTCGCGCTCGTCGCTTTATCGGTTCGTTCCTCCGTTCCTCATCGGCGTGGAGTGATGAGTGTGTGTGTGTCTGTGTGTCTGTGTGTCTGTGTGTCTGTGTGTCTGTGTGTGGTGTGTTTGTTGTGCGGTCGCTGTCTGCTCCGTGTGTGTTTGTGTGTTTGTAGTTTACTGAAGTCGTGCTGGGACACCCGAGTGGATTCGTGTATGGGGCGCTCTGGATTGTGGGGCGCGGTCGTTTTTTAATGCGGGTAGATCACAGGTGTCAAACATAAGGCCCGGGGGCCAGATCCGGCCCTCCAAGACCTTTAATGTGGCCCTTGGGTGATTTTCTACTAAAATATTTTCATTATATTTTCTATTAAAATCTTGTTAATTTTCTGTGGTGTTTATCACAGCAGCGTCTCCAGCGTCTCTGTACGTGGCCCCTCCCACCAGAGCAGCACAAATGAAGACTTGTCTCTTTCCAAACGCTCTTAAAGGACGATCGTTTTGACTGTTGACCGTGACACCCTCATCAGAAAAATGTCCAACATGAGAAAAGTGGAGCCGAGTGCAGAATTTTACAAGAAAAATTGACTTATTCCTGTTTACAGACAAGTTCATGTTCAAACTTTGTACTGAAATGGAATTTTTCTTAAAGTTTCAGGTTGTTCATAATATTATAATATTATAATAAGAAAGAGTTCATCAATTAAAAAAGATTTCTGTTATAGATTTGTGTTTCTCTGCACAAATATTTGAACTTATTGTTATTTTTGGGGTTTATATGACATGAGTTTTCTGATCCGGACACTTTGGGATCAAAGTCGGTTGGACACGGCCCCTGGAACAAAATGAGTTTGACTCTCCTGGGTTAGAGGCTTAAGAGCCGCGTCTAATGACCCGGAAAATACGGTAAACCTCAATTCAGAATTATTATTTCCAAGGAGAATATTTTAATTCAGAACAATTTAGTTCAGAACAAAAAAGCATCATGTAAACGTGGTCAATGTCTGTTTTTCTCTGTATTTTTGATTGATAAAACCACCTGTAACTGAATAAATGTAAAGTAGAGCTGTTTAAAGTCAAACTAGGGAACATTCCAGACAAAGCAGTGACGTATCCATAGAAACAAGGAGATGACAGACCAAACTGACCAACCGATAAGTTAGAAAATGTGAAATACTGATCCTAAAGTGACCAAAACATGTTTAAGAGGGAATCAAAACCATAAAAAAGGCAAAATGTGTGTTCTTTAAAAACAAAGAGGAGTTTTTCCTGCATCTAAACTGTAAATAAATGAAACAAACACTGCTCCAAATGTGTGTTTTTGAGGTGTCGTGGTTAAAACGTTCATCAAAATGTTTCCTTCAAGTTAGTTTTCAAACCCAGAAGAATTTTACATCATCCATCCCTTGTAAAATAAAAAAAATAATTGCCAAAACTCAAAGTAAAAGTGAATTTTGAGTCGTGTTTGTGCTGAGTTTGTGGGACCGGGTCAAACTGGAGCAGGACCAATCTTCTACAGCAGGTTCAGAGTCTTTCCACAGTCTCCTCCATTGGCTTCAGCAGGTTGTAAGATCTTCCTCGCTCCAGAGGTTCTTCTCCGAAAGAAGGTTCAGAAGGTCGGCAGATCTTCACTCAGAGCATCATCATCGTTTTATTCTGAAAGTTCACAATTCCTCCAGAAGGTTCAGTGAGTTTTGAGGTTTTCATTGATCGTATTGTCTCTAGAAGGTACAGAACGTTTCCTGGTTTGTTCTTGTCAAGAGGAATCAAACGTTTTATCACTTAGATCTTCTCCAGTGGCTTCTGTTGGTTGAAGGCTCTTCCTCGCAAAGCAGGTTCAGGACATTTGCCAGCTCAGGTCTTCTTCAGCAGGTGGACAGGTCTTCGTCGCTCAGCTCCTCCTCCGCCGTGGCCTTCTCGGGGATGGCCTCCAGACTTCGGCGTCCCTTCCCGTCTCCAGACTGGGACCCTCCTCCTCCTCCTCCTCCTTTGGTCAGGCTGCAGGTCAGAGCGGCGTAGTGGATCTGCTTCAGGTTCTCCTGGACCTCGCTCTTGGCGTGTTTCAGAAGGTCCGCCTGACCCTGAGGGAAAAACACAAAAGAAAAAGAACAGGAAAATCAGGAGGACGTCAAATAAGAAAATACAATGAAGTGAACCCACAGACTGTATGTTTGAATCAGGGGTGAGCGAGTGAAGTTTTTTCCATCAGGCCACATGAGAAACAGAAAATATTGTGGAGGCCAAAGTTTTAAATCAGTTCTGCAGAATATTAATTGTATTTCTTTATAACAAAGTAGTAAATCTCATTGATCTGACGAGCTGCTCAGACTGGGAAGAGTTTATGTTCTGACTAAACAATGAAAAAGTGAGACTCCCGACCAAAAAATATAATAAAAAAAACAGCTCTAAAATAAAAGTAATGCAGCTTTAGTTGATGTGTGGGGTAAAATGATAAAATATGTTTATTTTGTAATTACAAATGAGCTTAAATGGGTCGGTCAGAGTCGACCAAAGGGCTGCATGTGGAGCTCTGATATAAATGGATTTACAGTGCGTTTGTTTATCCATCCGACTCAGAGGTCCGAGGACGCACTGACACGCCCCTTTTCCTCTGACGGAACAACTCAGAACTCGGAAGAACTCGGAAGAACTCGGAAGAACTCGGAAGAGAGCAAAGATTCCAAGATAAAATCCAAGAGGCTGTGCCCAGTGTCACTTTTAAGTATGAACTGTTTTCATTATGTTTGGAGCTTTGGTGGTTTAAATTTTAGTCTGCGTCTGTATTACTGCAGTACTTTACTGCGTCCGTATTACTGCAGTACTTTACTGCGTCCGTATTACTGCAGTACTTTACTGCGTCCGTATTACTGCAGTACTTTACTGCGTCCGTATTACTGCAGTACTTTACTGCGCCCGTATTACTGCAGTACTTTACTGCGTCTGTATTACTGCAGTACTTTACTGCGTCCGTATTACTGCAGTACTTTACTGCGTCTGTATTACTGTCTGTGTTTGTGGTGGTCGTTGTTGTGTTGAAGTCAATATTGAACAAAGATTTGTTTTTCAAACACAACAGACTCCAGACTTTCCAAAACAGTAGAAAAAGTGAACACATCACACGAGGAAAAATAGAGTTAAAAAGTCTTTATTTAAATGACCAAAGTCGACATGTTTCGACCTGAACTGGTCTTCATCAGTTAAAAGTTAAGGTCGAAACATGTCGACTTTGGTCATTTAAATAAAGGCCTTTTAACTCTATTTTTCCTCGTGTGATGTGTTCACTTTTTCTACTGTTTTGGAGAGTCTGGAGTCTGTTGTGTTTGAGTTTTGATCCTTTTTTCCAACAGCCCAACCCTCTACCTGCTCCTACTGACTGGAACACCTGCAGCAAACAGACACATTTTTGTTCTTTCTGTAAAGATTTGTTTTTAACGTTTGTTACTAAACGTCCCTGGAGTCGCCAACAGGAGGCAAAGGACAAATTCAGTTTGTCGACTGGACAAAAGTTTATTTGGTGGAATATATTCCGCAGCTCATCACAGCTGCTTCTTTAGTTCTGGTGGGAAAGATGGTGGATACTTCCTTAAATCTGCCTGAATAGAAGATAAACATCAACAATAACACTTTTCCTGTTTGGCCTCCATGTTTTTCTCCAAGTCGGTCACACAGAACATAATAAACGTTTGTTTTGAAGTAAGTGTAAGTGTGAATGTGACGTTACATCCGAGATCCGAATAGGAGACGGACGGATAATTGAACGCACCGATAGCGAACCCGCTGCATTCCAAAGAGGAAGTGAACATAGATGCACGTTTGGCTCCATCAGCTCTGGCTCCAGTTGACCTGACAAAGATTGTGTCTCTCTCTGCACCTGCTGCTGTCAGTCTTCCAAATTTTGGTTGTAAAATGTTCACATTAACTCTACCTGCTCTACACGATCAAGGTGTTTTTATTTCACAGTTTTGTCTGTAAATTTCTAATTTCTTCATATGAAACTAAGCTCCAAATTTGCTCGTATAACTGGAGCCGGACTCGTCACACTCCCTCAGTCGTCTTCTTTACACCGTCTATGAGTAAACCATGAACCTGATCACTTCAGAATGTTGAATATTTGTCGTCTCGTGATATTTGACCTCTTCATTTGGCCACTTCCTGAAACTTTAAATCAAAATCTTACTTTCAGTTTCATGGAAGTGGATTAGTGTGATACAGTTTGAAGTTCTAACACACCAGTTTGGAGTTAAAGGTTGTATGGAGGATTTTTTTTTTTTTTTCAAATTGTCACTGAAAGTTTAAAATACCATTACAGAGACACAACAGCCTTGTAATTATGATGACCAAAAAAAAAAAAGAACGAAAATCTATCAACTGTGGACGTAGTGAGGCCAGATAAACATCAGCCAATAGAAAACGAGGCTGCCTCTTTATCTATTGGCTGTTAGGTTGTCAATCAAACTCCCTAGTATAACTGATTCGTCGGCGCGCTGGGATTATGTGGTTTATGCAGCGGTTCTTAGAGGCTTTTTCAAACTGTCGCTTCCTCACAAATCGCACAAAGTTTGTCGCGATGTCGGACGAGAATCCACGACCAGTTCGCCGCCAAAGAAAGTCCGTTTTTGAGGTCGCCGAAAGAAGAAGAGAAGGGGAAAAGGAGCGAAGACAAACTGAGGTGATTCTTGGAGATTCCTTCCAGCGATGGCGCGAATGAAGCAGACGAAGAGTCTTAAAAACTAAAGACGTGTTGGTCGCTAAATTATTTCTAGACAGGTCACTTCAACGGTAATTCTGAACGCGCACTGGATGTAAACAAGCGTGATTTCTAGAGTAAAGAGGCGGGAGGAGGTGTTTCTACTGAGGGAAGGTGGTGTCACGCACGCGCAACATTTGAAAAAGGACTGTCGCTGTACTTCACTTCCCTTAAAAAATCCTTTATACAACCTTTAAGGAGAAAGTTCTGAGATTAAAATGAAGTGTCCAGGGTTTTGTCTGGTGTCTGTGGCTGTCTGGACCCCCAGGTGAGGCGGAGAGCCCGGTGATCTCCTGACCTTGAGGATGGTGATGTTCCAGGTGAAGCTCTCCACGGCCTTGTGCAGCTTACGTCCCTTCAGTCCCTCCTTCACCGCCAGCTCGTGGAGGTTCTCGTGGAACTGCATCGCTGGGGACACAAAGTACACAAGTATTTAACCACAACAGAAACCACAGGGCAGATAATACTCCCTACAACTGCACGACAACTCAGATAATACTCCCTACAACTGTACAACAACACACCCTTATTTAACAGATAATACTCCCTACAACTGTACGACAACTCAGATAATACTCAATACAACTGTACAACAACACACCCTTATTTAACATATAATACTCCCTACAACCGTACGACAACTCAGATAATACTCCCTACAACTGGGCAACTCACTCTTATGTAACAGATAATACTCCCTACAACTGCACGACAACTCAGATAATACTCCCTACAACTGTGCAACAACTCGCCCTTATGTAACAGATAATACTCCCTACAACTGCACGACAACTCAGATAATACTCCCTACAACTGTAACAACTCACTCTTATGAAACAGATAATACTCCCTACAACTGTACAACAACTCAGCCTTTATTTTATATTTTATTCCTTTTTTATTATTTTTTTGACTTGTACATTTACATTTATATAATTTTATCTTATTTCACACGTCTCTTTCTTTTTTTTTTTTTTTTTTTTTACGATTTATTTACAATTTATAATTACTATTTATATTTTTTACTTTTTAAAGTTTGTTTAAATTAAGTCAAATTGAACGTAAAAACATTTGGAGCTGAAACAGTTGAGATGATTTTTGTTAAAAAAGTAAAAAAAAAAAACAATACTTGTGTCTTTGAGCCGTTCGACAGAAGCTTTTAAACGGTTCTATAATTCAGATCAAAACGAGACGGGTCGGTTCTGGGTCGAGCTGCTGCTGCTGGAGTGTTTGGTTTGAGAGCAGCAGACACATGAGTGGATGACGCAAACCTCTCCACATCTCTCATTCTCTCAGATTCTCCACGAGGTTCAGAGCGGCTCAGAGTTCAGAATCCACAGCCTCCTCCTCCTCGTCCTCCTTCGTCTAAAGAACATACGTCAGATCCTCCTCGTTCGTCTAAAGAACATACGTCAGATCCTCCTCGTTCGTCTAAAGAACATACATCAGACCCTCCTCGTTCATCTGAAAAACATGCGTCAGATCCTCCTCTTAACTAAAGAACATACGTCAGATCCTCCTCGTTCATCTAAAGAACATACGTCAGATCATCCTTCATCTAAGAACATACGTCAGATTCCTCGTTCATCTAAAGAACATTCGTCAGATCCTCCTCGTTCATCTAAAGAACATTCGTCAGATCCTCCTCGTTCATCTAAAGAACATTCGTCAGATCCTCCTCGTTCATCTAAAGAACATACGTCAGATCCTCCTCCTTTAACTAAAGAACATACATCAGATCCTCCTCGTTCATCTAAAGAACATACGTCAGATCCTCCTCGTTCGTCTAAAGAACATACGTCAGATCCTCCTCTTCATCTAAAGAACATACGTCAGATCCTCCTCGTTCGTCTAAAGAACATACGTCAGATCCTCCTCGTTCGTCTAAAGAACATACGTCAGATCCTCCTCGTTCGTCTAAAGAACATACGTCAGATCCTCCTCTTCATCTAAAGAACATATGTCAGATCCTCCTCGTTCATCTAAAGAACATACGTCAGATCCTCCTCCTTCATCTAAAGAACATACGTCAGATCCTCCTCGTTCATCTAAAAAACATACATCAGATCCTCCTTCATCTAAAGAACATACGTCAGATCCTCCTCCTTCGTCTAAAGAACATACGTCAGATCCTCCTCTTCATCTAAAGAACATACGTCAGATCCTCCTCCTTCGTCTAAAGAACATACGTCAGATCCTCCTCCTTCGTCTAAAGAACATACGTCAGATCCTCCTCCTTCATCTAAAGAACATACGTCAGATCCTCCTCCTTCGTCTAAAGAACATACGTCAGATCCTCCTCCTTCAACTAAAGAACATACATCAGATCCTACTCGTTTGTCTAAAGAACATAAGTCAGATCCTCCTCGTTCATGTAAAGAACATACGTCAGATCCTCCTCGTTCGTCTAAAGAACATACGTCAGATCCTCCTTCATCTAAAGAACATTCGTCAGATCCTCCTCGTTCGTCTAAAGAACATTCGTCAGATCCTCCTCGTTCGTCTAAAGAACATACGTCAGATCCTCCTCGTTCATCTAAAGAACATACGTCAGATCCTCCTTCATCTAAAGAACATTCGTCAGATCCTCCTCGTTCGTCTAAAGAACATTCGTCAGATCCTCCTCGTTCGTCTAAAGAACATACGTCAGATCCTCCTCGTTCGTCTAAAGAACATACGTCAGATCCTCCTCGTTCATCTAAAGAACATACGTCAGATCCTCTTCCTTTGTCTAAAGAACATACGTCAGATCCTCCTCCTTCATCTAAAGAACATACGTCAGATCCTCCTCCTTCGTCTAAAGAACATACGTCAGATCCTCCTCCTTCGTCTAAAGAACATACGTCAGATCCTCCTCCTTCATCTAAAGAACATACGTCAGATCCTCCTTCGTCTAAAGAACATACGTCAGATCCTCCCCTTCAACTAAAGAACATACATCAGATCCTACTCGTTTGTCTAAAGAACATAAGTCAGATCCTCCTCGTTCTAAAGAACATACGTCAGATCCTCCTCCTTCGTCTAAAGAACATACGTCAGATCCTCCTCCTTCATCTAAAGAACATACGTCAGATCCTCCTCCTTCGTCTAAAGAACATACGTCAGATCCTCCTCCTTCAACTAAAGAACATACATCAGATCCTACTCGTTTGTCTAAAGAACATAAGTCAGATCCTCCTCGTTCATGTAAAGAACATACGTCAGATCCTCCTCGTTCATCTAAAGAACATTCGTCAGATCCTCCTCGTTCGTCTAAAGAACATTCGTCAGATCCTCCTCGTTCGTCTAAAGAACATACGTCAGATCCTCCTCGTTCGTCTAAAGAACATACGTCAGATCCTCCTCGTTCATGTCTAAAGAACATACGTCAGATCCTCCTCGTTCGTCTAAAGAACATACGTCAGATCCTCCTCGTCCTACAGAGCGTACAAAGCTCTGGAGCTGTCACACCAGACCCACACTTTGTTCTCCAAACACCTGAAGACCTGAACCAAACCACATCACACGTCGCTTCTGCTGGACGTCACCGTGAAGACGCATGTTGGTTTTATTTAGGACCAGAAAGAAGATTTATTTTGGCTAAAATTTCACCTTCTACACCTCCTTGTTAAAGCTGTTCCTGATATTTATTGTCTGAAAAAAACGGTTTGCAGTGATCCAAAGTTCTTCCTCTCTCACCTTAAAAGCATCAGAACTTCCCGATTACTCTCCACGATGAGATTATTCACGCTTTTAGCAATCCTCAAAGACCAGAGAGGAGTTTCGCAGCTGCCCTCTGTCTTCCACATCCAACATCTCCACCTCCAACTGTCTCAGCAGAACGAGGAACATCATCAAGAACAAAACACACACCCGACTTCCACCTCTTCAACCTGTGGCCTTCTGACAGGAGCTTCAGGTCCAGACCAGCTTCATTACACTGTGTATAATGACAATAAAGGCTTTCTATTCTGTTCTATTCTGTTCTATCAAAAGCTAGTATGCTAACAAGTACTTCCTGATTATCGACAATAATACTTTATCATGTTCATAATTAGATGAACAAAATACAGAGCAGAATCATTTTAACTGAAGAGCTGCTTTTACAATCTGAACTGGGGAATTTGCTCAAATACAAAGGGGGAAAAATGAAAGAAACCTCTTGTACATTTTTTTAATTTTTTTATTTAAATTTTTTGGGTTTGTCCAAGTGAACTTGTGTCATTATCCACTGTTTTAAAGAAACAAAGTTAAATAAAATGAAAACAGAAAACTGAGCACAACAACGGCCTCGATCCACAGAACAACGCAACATTTGAACTGAACACAAGTGTTTTAAAACGTTCACATCCTCAGTGAAAGAAACAGGACTGAACCGGTCCGCTTCTCTCTCTCTCTTTTCCATTCTTTCTCTTTATATTCCTCCCTGTGTTGTGAACTTGTGACTTGCCTCTGTCTCTTTTTGCTTTTGCTCTCTTCTGTTTACACTCTACATACACACTGTAAAAGTCATTCTAGTGAAGGAGTATGGAAGGAGTATGGAAGGAGTATGGAAGGAGTATGGAAGGAGTATGGAAGGAGTTTGCTTCTGAAGAGTGTGGACGCTATCCTTGCCTGCTCCTGCTGTTTTTGCTTTTTAATCAGTTTACCTCCTCCAACAACAGATAATGTGTCTATTTTTGATTTCCTTTTAAGTAAATTAATACTTTTAAACATTTTTTAAACAAACTTTAAAAAGTAAAAATATAAATAGTAATTATAAATTGTAAATAAGTCGTAAAAAAAAAAAAAAAAGAAAAAAAGAAAGAGACGTGTGAAATAAGATAAAATTATATAAATGTAAATGTACAAGTCAAAAAAATAATAAAAAAGGAATAAAATATAAAATCTCAAGGCTGAGTTGTTGTACAGTTGTAGGGAGTATTATCTGTTACATAAGGGCATGTTGTTGTACAGTTGTAGGGAGTATTATCTGTGACATAAGGCCATGTTGTTGTACAGTTGTAGGGAGTATTATCTGTTACATAAGGGTGAGTTCGTGGACAGTTGTAGGGAGTATTATCTGATTGTCGTGCAGTTGTAGGGAGTATTATCTGTTACATAAGGGTGAGTTGTTACAGTTGTAGGGAGTATTATCTGAGTTGTCGTGCAGTTGTAGGGAGTATTATCTGTTACATAAGAGTGAGTTGCACAGTTGTAGGGAGTATTATCTGTTACATAAGAGTGAGTTGCACAGTTGTAGGGAGTATTATCTGTTACATAAGAGTGAGTTGCACAGTTGTAGGGAGTATTATCTGTTACATAAGAGTGAGTTGCACAGTTGTAGGGAGTATTATCTGTTACATAAGAGTGAATTGCACATTTTTACATTTTTTTTTAAACAAATCATCTGATGAGCCAGCAACATGTCGGGGAGAAGAAACCAAGGG